AGCTTGATCCACTCTGGACAGGTATGCACATTATTCCTTAACCCTAGAAATCTCTCCGTGGTAGCATTTGTATGTGTGTGGACGTAGGTGTATATCTGAAACACTCATTGGTCTTTGTCTTCTGAAGCAGACAGCTTTTTTCTTGATTCATAATATGAATTTCTGGTTATTTAGGTTGAGTGTCATGCTAAATAAACAAAGTCTCCTCAGTTCCCTAATGTAGTTACACTTCACACCGAAACTACCCCCTGGCATTTTGGACCCTTCATAAGACTGCCTTTGGAGAGATTTGGAAATCAGGTTCAGCTCAAAGGTAGAAACTGGAGCCTCTTACACCAAGGCTTGTAGAAGCAGCACACTTAGGAGGGAGGTCTGGAAAGCGCTTTAAAGACAATAGCACACCTGAAATGGACTGGAGTGATGGATTAGAACAGAGTATTGTGGGAGAGACTAGGGTTCTGATACAGGATAGTAGTAGCAGATATTCTTGATTCATCAAGGAAAAAAATTACTTTCTGCATCCTTTTCTTCAGAGGGCAGGGTAAAGTTTGTATAAGATTTTAGAAGGAAATCTTTTAAAATATTAAAAGTTTGGGGCCAGGGATTTAGCTCAGCGGTTCGGACCCAAGTTCAATCACCGGTACCAAAATAAATAAATAAATAAAAGTTTGTCTGTATAAACTAATTTGGTTAATCTAGAAAATATGACATACTTTAGTTTCCCAACATGCTAAATGCGGTAGTACAGTAATTTAGCTTAATTGATCATAAAGGCTACAAGAATAATTAAAAGAAACTTTTATTTAAAAAACATTTAAAAGATTGCAGTACATTTTAATAACAAAATAATACACAAAAATACCAAATAAAGAATTGAAGGTGCCCTTTTTGTGAAAACTTGACTATCCTTCCACACGTTTCCCTCAAATATACTGTTTTATTGTACTGTATTAGGAGCACAACTAATTTTTCAAATATATATATGTACAAATATATTAAATTGTTCTGTGTTTTTATAGTCTACTTTCCAACTTTAACTAAAAAGCAACTGTATGACAAGTAATCCTTTTTTTAAAAAATGAGTGATTAGTTTCATTTCAGCTAAAGGACACAAATTAGAAGTAACCAAAGGAAGAGAACATGTAGGGCAGTCTGTGAGGCCTCTAAACACATGCTTGCTTCATCCTCAGGGGCATGCTGCCTTCGGGTAAAGAGCACTGCCAGCCAGAACAGCTCACCCAGAGCCTTCTGTGCCCAGAGATTTTAAAGGGACTCAAAGCACAGTCACCTTTAGTCTCAAGTCTTCCTTTAAGTGGCTAGTTTCTCTGGAGTTCAGAGTTGATAAAGTGTGTTCCAAAGCCCATGAATCACATTGTTAATACAGTATGGTGGACAAAGCCACCAGGCAGGACACTTGATCAGATAGGACATCCTAGGGTCCTTGAAGTCACCTCTCAGGAGCCAAGAGCAAAGGCTAGAACAGATCTGTCTTTTGGTACATACACAGATGGTATATGAATAAGACAAAGCAAATATGTATACCTTGCACTGTGCTCTTATACATCAAAGTCCTTCTGTATGTATAACCATGCTTGTTAAAAAGAGACACATCTTAGTGGTTTTGATACAAATTCGGATGTTCTAAGAAGAACCCGAAGTAACATTGCTCAAAAAAGATAGAAGTCGGTTTCTCTTTTACATGATTGTTCTTTTACAGACCTCCAACTAGTATGGAAGTTTTGACTGTCTATAAAGCTGTAAGTTACCCAAGGAGGTTGGGAAATGCCATGTGGTTCTTAAGTATTGGGGGGAAGGTTATCTCTCCGTTTATGGGGTGTTGCCTTCAGCCACAGTTTCAAGACAGTTGCTCTTATTAAGAAAAGGACTTTACCTTCTTCTTAAAGGAACAGTACAGAAGTTATAAACATGAATTATACTCATTCGACTGGCCAGAATTCAGCTTTTTTGGGAAGTGTAGTCCTAGCTAGATGCTGTTTGCCCAGCTGACATTTGAACTCTAATAGGAGTTGCCAAGTGATTCACCTGTGATTTATCCCAATCAGAAAGTAAACAGTGCTGGATGCAGGTGCCCCCCCAAACCTACAAAAGCAGCTTGGTTTGTAATTAAGGAAAAATTAAATGGATATATTAACATCACACCTTTATATAATATTTTGCAAAAAATTAATTTTTCCTTTGATATTTATTTTCTTTCTCTTCTAACTAGACTGTGCTGTGTGGTATGGGAGAGTTACATATTGAGATTATTCATGACCGAATCAAGCGGGAATATGGCTTGGAGACCTACCTGGGGCCTCTCCAGGTGGCTTACCGAGAGACCATCCTCAACTCGGCTCAGGCCACAGGTAAGACACAAAACATGAGACTGTGAGCTTGTTGACTGCATTTTTGCCAGTGATGACACCCTAACACTTTTCAGAACAAATCTGAAGTACCATATTCATTTTGTGTTTTAGATACCTTAGACAGAATTTTAGGAGACAGACAGCATCTCGTGAGTGTAGAGCTGGAAGCAAGGCCAGGCGAGACACCCTCTGTCACACCAATGATTGAGTATGCTGACAGTGTCAGCAGAGACCTGTTGAAGGACTCCCAGGAGGCTGTTGAAAATGGAATTCACAGTGCATGCCTCCAAGGTGAGGACACAACCAAGGGGAAGTGTAATAATCCACTTGGCCATTGAATCATTGTGTGTGTGTGTGTGTGTGTGTATAGCAGAATACTATATAAAGATATGTTAATATATCCACTTAAGTAATTTTTCATTAATTACAAACAGCTGCTTTTGCAGTAGCAGTGGGATGGGCTCCTATATTCAGCACCATTTACATTTCTGATTGGAATAAATCAATTACAAGTGCATATGCTAGGGATTGAACCCACCGAGCTACCTCTCTAGCCTCTTAATCATTTTGTTTACTCAAACCATTCCATCTTTTCCTAACTTTACTAATGTTTTTCTCCTACTTCTTCACATCTTTGTTACTCCTTACTACATACTAAATCCTGTCACAATGTTTCTTGCACAGGACCCTTGCTTGGATCCCCCGTTCAGGATGTGACGATTATATTACATTCACTGGCAATTCATCCTGGTACCTCTGCAACTATGATTTCTGCCTGTGTCTCAAGATGTGTACAAAAGGTACAGAACTATAGTTCTAGTCCTAGTCCTTTTGTTTTAAGGCAACTATACTGAATGCAGCACCACTGACCTCACGAACAGCTGTGCCTACAGAGCCTGCTTCCTGTCCTTCCCTCCTGAGTCTTAGTAACAGTTCTTAGCATGAAGGTCACACATTGGCATACTGGTCACACAGACTGCTGATTTTGAGAGAAGTGAGTTTCCTTCAGTGTTGTCTGTGCTTTCCACATCCCAGACACAGCCATTAGAGGCAAGTCTGGTAGATTTACAGAAAGGACAGATCGAGGTTAGTTTGGCCCTGACCTATAATCTAAAGGACACTGAAGATCTAATACTATTTTCAGTTTTAAAGTTCATGTTTATTCAAGTAAGATTGCTTTCACTTAGAAGCCAGCTGAGTCCCAAGAGATTCAGGGTGTCTTCCCTACTCAAAGCATTGAGCACAAATACCCCAGCGTTTGAATTAAGTTGAACTGTCTTTTTCATGAGTTCAAATTCATATTTTTTTCTTGGTGCTGGGATTGAACCCAGAGTACAGTACATGTTAAAAATGTACCAGGCATGATGGGACATACCTGTAATCCCAGCACTTGGGAGGCTGTGGCAGGAGGATTGCCATGTGTTTGAGGACAGCCTAAACTACATCATGAGACCCTCTTTCAAAAAAAAAAAAAAGAATGTGCTCTACAACGGAGCCTATCTCTAGCCCTTAATTTCACAAAGGCTTTTTGATTAAAACAGAAAAGCAAAAAGTATGCTTTGGAAAAAATGATTTAAATATTATTCGCCTAAGAATATAGTTAGAAACATCATCTGTAGTCATTACTGTCTTGAGAACATTTAAATAATATTAAAATTTTCTCCTGATACTGTTTGTTTTGGTACCAGGGATCAAACTTGGGACCTTGCGCTTATAAGGCAGGCGGTGGCACCACTGAGCTAAATCCCTGGTCCTGTTTTTAATATTGAAGTAGTAATCCAAAAGATACTTTAAATCTCAGAATTTTGACCTGCAGAATATTATGCCTTTAAAGTCAAATTAGCTGCCCATGGTGGCACACGTCTGTAAGCTCAGCACTTAGCAGGCTGAGACAGGAGGATCACTGCAAGTTCAAGGCCAGTCTGGGCTACATAGTGAGTTCAAGAACAGCCTGAACTACATAGCAAGACCTTGTTTAAAAAAAAAAAAAAAAAAAAAAAGTCAAAGTATTTGATTAACCTTTTTAATGAAAATATACTAGAGAATGAGAATTAACTCTGTGGGGCTAAAACATTTAGTCTTTAGTCTTAATTCATTACTTTAAATGACAGCTTTCCTGCCTAATATCTATTGGGGAAGGTTTTTTTCTCTCTATTTAAGAGAAGTTCATGGCATTCAGAGGTACTGAGTCATTTGTGTTGTGCTTAGTTTCCTGGACATGAGGACACCAATAGGATAATTTTGTTTCCTCAAATTAAGGGAGCTCATGATTTAGTAAACAAATTAAATACAGCCAGATAGCCAAAGTATTAGAACAGGTAGAGTACCATAAAAGCTGGGAATTAGAGGAGATTCTTGGAAAGAAATTAACATTCAAGCTCTGATGATTTGGGAGGATTGACATACGAGGGGACAGTCCGGAAATAAAGACCCCTGTTATTGCAGTGCCCAGACATAGTGAAAACAGCATCAAAAAACTAAGCGGGGTTACTGTAGGGACACCTTTAGGCACTGTATTAAGAATGTGAACTTCATTCTGAGTGAAGATGGAAGTGTACTAGACAAGGGGTCGGAAGGGGAAGTAGCATCTAGGTCTGTGTTAGGGTACCAACACTACGGATGGAAATCTCGCAGCCTGGTCGGAAAAACAACTCAGAAGAGGCATGTCTGTGTGAACTTCAAATGCCATTAGAAAGAGGGAAGAGAAATGTTTGGGGCATCTGGAGAGCTGTACAATACTCAGACCTGTCCCAAAGCAGGCCCATAGAGTACATGGCTGGGCTGGGCTGTGGAGTGGAGGTAAGGAAGCCTCCTAGGAGGGGCTGCTGAAGCTCTGCAATAGGTAATGTCAAGGAAAAGATGTAGAGAGAACAGGGGACAGTTCCACGAGACGGGATTTGTAAGAGTCCTTGACTGTAGCATTTTCTCTTAATGTTTTACCTTTTCTACTCCCGTTATTTTATCCTTAAAGTCATGTTCAGTTGCATATCATTTGAAGGTCATTTTCTGTGTGATGTTCTTGGCCTTTGAAGTCTAAGATTCTCAACATGTGTAAAAAAGGGCTTGTTTAAAAAAAATACATACATATATATATATATGTATATTATATATATATTGTATATATATATATATATATATATGGGGGGGTTCTATTTTAAGCTGTTTTGTAAGCAAACAGTAAAGTTTTTCTTACAAAGCGTGATCTCTATAGAGTTCAAGCAGCAGGTTTTCTAGAGCCCTAGACTTGAGTATGGACAATATTTCAGTTTTTACGGATCCTCCTTTTTTCTGTAATTAAAAAACTGACTTAACTCTTCAATCCCTTTAGGCCCTGAAGAAAGCTGACAAACAGGTTTTGGAGCCTCTGATGAATCTTGAGGTTATAGTGCCTAGAGATTATCTCAGCCCTGTGCTAGCAGATCTAGCACAGAGAAGAGGGAACGTTCAGGAGATCCAAACTCGCCAAGACAATAGAGTTGTTATTGGATTTGTTCCCTTAGCAGAAATTATGGTAGGTATTTTGAAACTGAAGCATGTATTTCTTTTTGTAATATAGGAGTTATGGGGACCAGGGATTTAGCTCAGTGGTTCTGCCGCCTGCCTCACAAGCACAAGGACCCGAGTTCAATCTCCGGTACCAAAAAAAAGAAAGACAGGAGTTATGTATGGCAAGTGAAAATAGTATAAGCAGTGCCAGGGCTGACTTAGAAGAACTCAGGAAAATCTAGAGATTGCAGCACTTAAAGGGGCTTGTTTCCTTTTTTTTTTTTTTTTTTTTTTTTTGGAAGTTGGGGAGGGTATCAAACTCAGGACCTTGTGCTTGCAAGGCAGGCATGGTGCCATTGAGCTTATCCCTGGTCCTGGGGCTTGTTTCTAAATCCTAGGACCATAAAGGTAGAGGTGTATACCAAAATGTGGCACTAATCTGAAAAGCCATTTTTATCCTTCCATGCATTGATCTCCTGACAGTTCTTTTTTTTGGTACCGGGGATCAAACTTAGGACCTCATGCTTGAAAGGCAGGCGGCAGCTAAATCCCTGGCCCTCCTGCCAGTTCTAAGGCCTATGTCATTCCCCCACCAGCTAAGTCTTCTGCTGACCGGCACCTGGGTACCAGCAGAATAGTAGGAAAAGCCAAATCATTCTCCAAATGGCAGGACCACAGATTGCATCTGTAGCCTGCCTACGATAGATTTTCCTACTCTCCACAATATTTTCACATCCAGTCTTTCCTGCAAAAATATTTACATGGTCTGTCTGAAGGAAGCAATATGGCTAAGCCTCATAGCAGGCATCCGCTTTTCCTAAGTTCCTCCTCCTGCTGATTACCGTTTGATTAACTGTTTTTTCATTATTTTGGTTAGGGTTATTCAACTGTGCTTCGAACATTAACATCAGGCTCAGCAACTTTCGCTTTAGAATTATCTACTTATCATGCTATGAATCCTCAAGACCAAAATATACTGCTCAACAAGAGAAGTGGTACAACATAAGTGTTTAGGCCCTTGGAAATGGAAAGAAATTCAGGAACTGTACCATCTGCTTCATTTTCAGGAACAACAGTTTTATGTACTGGGCAAATACATCTTTCTCATCTAGTTCTTTGTACCAAAATAGTAATGTAACTTGAAAACAGACAATGAGAACCTGCCCATTCTAATTATGAAAATCACTTTTTTTAAGCTTCTCTTAAAAGGAAGAAAGGTGCCAGACTTGTAAAATGATAGAAATTCAATCAATAAAAATATTTAATTCAAAAATAACAAATCTTAATGTACATGATTTCAAAATCAAATGGATTGTACTACAGATTGCTGTGGCCTTTTTCCCTATTTTTTGTGATGGCTCACTTTTATATTTTCTCAGTCACAAAATCCAACGAAGAGAGGCTGGGCAGAGATTCCACGTCTATAGACAGATAACAAAGTTTCAGATTGAGAGAACACCATCTTAAATCACTTATCACCTTTACAATCATGATTTTTTTTCAGTAATTCTAGTTTAAGCTATTAAGTTCTTTAAGATGACAGATGAGTATAAGTTACAGTAGAATTTTATATATATATATATATATATGGTTTTGTTTTTGTTTTGGTGGTACTAGTCATTGAAACCAGGGCCTCACACATGGTAGGCTTATGCTTTGCCACTGAGCTACAATCCTGATTCTTTCACTGAGACAGGATCTCACTACATTGCCTAGGCTGGCCTTAAACTTGTGATCCTGCCTCAACCTCTGAAGTAGCTGGGATTACAGGCACGTATTACCATGCCCAAATACATAAATTTAGCACTCAGAAGGCTGAGGCAGGAGGATCATCATGAGTTCAAGACCAGTCCGAACTACATAGCAAGACCCTGTCAACCCCTCCCCCATCTATTTTTGGAGGTGTTATTCTCTCGTCTATAAAAAAAAATAATCCCCAGTATCTCCAAATTAAAGCACTTAGACAGCATTTCTACTTACAGCAAAATTAAAACCCTGACTAGCTTGTTAACACTCAATAATGGGCTTCAGAATGTCCTAGTTTGAAAAGTATGATCTGACCTGAGCATTCTGCAGCGATGCTTTGATAGTCTGTCATACGCATCCAGAATATCTGTGACAGTCTTGTCACTCCAGAGTCTCTCGCCAACAGCACTTGCCCGAGGCCTAAAATTGAAACCATGTGACTCCCAAAGCAGTTTGTTATCTTAAATAAGTATTTGAATCATATGCTGGGCAAATTCTTATGCTTTACCCCTTTCAAGCAGAAAAGTACTACAATGTCTTAATTCAAGTGTTATCACTTCATTTCCTTACCATAATCTTGGAGTAAGATTAGTTGCATCCACATATTCTCCCCAAAGACAAGCTTCTCCACCAAGAACAAGTTTTTTCTGTTTGTCTGAACCTACATTAAAACCATTGAATTGATACAGGTTAAGCAGTTCAAGCAGAGCCAACAGTGGTTTCCCCATCTGTCTTCATCCTAGGACAGCATTCCTCTCCTCTAGGCAACAGAACCTTATTCCCACCCCTGGCCCACAGCTCAGTGCTTGTTAACATGTACAGACTAACTCAGTGGGGTAGTGTTGGTTTTCTGAAGTGCTAGGAATTGAACCTGGGGCCTCCTGCTTGCTAGGTAAGCATTCTACCATAAACCACACCCCAGCCCCTCATTTTGGTTTTATACAACTTCTATGGATACCCACCAAAATCCATTTTTTTCTGGTTCTTGGCAGTAGTGTGCCAAGAAATACAAGTTGGAATACTAGTTTGCTTTTTTAAATGGGCTTTGGCCACTATGCCACCCTTCAGTTTCTACATCTTTATGTTTAAAACATCAAAAACAAGGACCAAGTGCTTCATTTTAAAACAGTAATTATGACCTTTTGATCATACTTATTTTAATACTATGTACTTTAATCAAAGTATTTTAATACATTTTAGAGAAAGTCATATCAATTCTCTGATCTAGTTTTGGAACAATCACAAAATCCTTCTTGCAAAGGAGAATTTGTACTAAAGGCTGATATAAAAACTGGACAAAAGAACTAGGGGAGTAGGTCAGTGCACTTGCCTAGCATGTGCAAGGCCCCAGGTTCGATTCCAGCACACATACAGGACGAAGTAGAATTGTTAACGATGGGGGTCTGTGAGCTAGAAGCTACATAGCTCAGACATTCCCTCATGCTCCCCTGAGACTCCACACAGCCAAACTGTAGTTCTATTTAGGTGTCTTCCAAAGTTAACACAAACATCTTTCAAATATAGAAAGCAAATGACAAAACTGATCATTGATAATGGAGGTAAAGTCTAAGGCGATCCACTTTTGAATTTTTTAATTTGGATAACTGCATGGTTTCACAGAATTTTAAAAATAAACAAATCAAACATAAAAGAGAATAGTCAGGAAGTACTATCCAGGTTAGATTTCCCGGGAGGGAGGTTTAGGTTAGGAAAAAAACAAACCAAGGTAATAATGGTTGTGTCACTTACCTTGAAAATTAAGAGGTTCTACTGAATAGTATTTTCTCCAGTCTTGCCCATAGCTAATCAAATCTAGGTACCAAGGAGCAGAAAGAATTGTAGAGAAGCCATATGCTGTGACTTGACTTAGTTCAGAAGGATAAGTTTCCGATTTCCATACTTGAATTATTGTGCCTGGCTGAAGCTATTAAAATTAAGAAATCATGATATTAGGTCTAGCAAATACAATTGGTCAATTAAAAATCTAAGGACCATAACTTTCTAAAATCCTTGAAAAAAAATCATTCTCTTTTTCCCTAAGAGTTAGTGCCATATACTAGTCACTGTATGTTTTCATTGCTATTCAAGTTCCATCAGCCTTCAGATTGGATATTTTTTTGCCTGTACATGACACCTTGTAGGTGCAATGAACTTGGGTTAAGGTCTGTATTATAGTCCCATTTATACCACACTGTTTTACTTCATTTGGAACCATGACGATATCACTCCTTGCTCAGGAAAGGTAAACTCTACTAGTAGGTGAACTTGCAAATTCCCAGTTGCCCCAGATGCATTCTTCACAATTCTTACCTCTTTATTATTATCAAAAACCTCTTGCCAGACGATGGATCTCTTGTTCATGGATGCAGTAATACCCAAAAGCCTAGCATTGCAAAAATTTACAAAGTTATTTCATATTACAAGAGTAACAACATTTAAAACATTCACATTTTTCTTTGAGGATTACTTGCAGCATTGAGAGGTGCCTTTCGGGTGTAACAGGTACACAGCAGAACCAGTGACCCAAATAGTGCTTCTAGCTCACAGCACAGAACCTAACAGTGACAGGGGTTAGCAGTCATTTGCTTGAGTGCATAAGCAAAGCACATCCCTACAATGGACATGGCCTCGAACTAACTAGCCAACCCGGGAAAGTGGAACACAGTACTCTTGGCTACTTTCACAGGTGTCTTAGAACAAGGGAGACTGTCATCGAGCCTGCCATACCACCTAAACCACTTTCAACTGCTGGCTGACAATCGGTCCACAAATACTATAGATATTTAGGCAATATTAAGATACTCTGGGGGATAAATGAGAATGCATCACACAAAAAGGTAAAAAGGAAAAGGGCAGATCAACCTGAGCTTGCCAAATGAATGGTACAGGGTGGGGGCTGACAAACTATAGCTTGCAGTCCATTTTTTTATGGTTCATTTGTAATGAATGTGGTTCATTACATTTGTAATGCAGTTTGGCGGGGGCGGAGGGAGGATGTGCTAACTATAGGTGGCCCATGAAGCCTAACAAATCTGCTTTCCAGCCCTTTATGGAAAAACTTCATGATCCCTGGTGTAAAGCAGCACTATCCAGCAGAACTTCCTGCCACAATGGAACGTTCTCTCTCTCTCTCTCTCCTCTCTCTCTCTCTCTCTCTATATATATATATATATATATCTGCATTTTTTAAAATATCTTGGCCAACAGGCATATGGAGCTATAGAACTTGAGATGTGGCTAATGCAAGTGGGGAACTGAATTTTTAACTTTTGAAAAATTTAAATACAAAAGAGCTACACATGGCTATGGGTAATGTATCGCACAGCATAGGTAGGGAGCAAAAGAGAAGATCCAGGATCTGACAAAAGGGAATGAATTCCAGGAATGCTGGTAAAGGCCTTCCAGAGTAGCCAGGGCTCTGAACTAAATTCTTAAAATGGATTACTTCTTTGCTGTATTTCAACAGCTACCGTTAAGTGCTTCAAGTCCCCATATTGGTCACTGTAGCGGCTTTTTACAACATCCACTCTTTGGCAAGAGGTGGAGAAAAAAATAATGCACAGTACTAAATGACAGCTTAAACTTTTACAAAAAGCTTTGATAACAGTGGAGGTGCTTAAATAACTTACTTTTGAACATAGAAAGATTCTAGTTTTGTAAAATCTTGACCAAAGCCTTTTTTCTTCATGAAATTTTGGATATTTGGATTTGATGCCCTTCAAGAAAAAACAGTGATTAAATTTCACTAATAGTTTGATCTGCCCAATCTTAAAGCAGTACATATCCCCAACATCATTGTGCAGACTTAAGTAGTACAGTTTGCGGGGTGCACGTACTCATGTACCAACTCCCCAGGATAAATGTCATCAGAATGCACTGCAAACATGCACTAATAAAAATAAAAGAATTATCTTGATTTCCATTGCAACACATTTTTTCCAGAAGCTGACTTCTCATTTTAAAAATAAGGTTTTCTCTAACCAAGCCCACATCTCCATCTAGGGCTATATACAAAGTCTAGTAATTTTTATTTGAAGAATCTCCTCCTCCATTTAATCCTTGCCCTCTTTTGCTAAAGAGGTTCCTGCTTGCTACAGACTTTTCTTAATCTCCCTTTTGCGCCGCCACCCAGTTGTATGCCTGGCAGGTGAGGACTTGTGTTACCCAGATGAAGCTCTTACAAGCAGAGTTATCCCCAATCTTCCCTTTTCCTGTGGAGCCTTCTACACCTACTTCAACTGCAATGGTTTAAAATAAATAAGGGTTTTGGAATCACCATACCAACAATCAAATTCCACTTCATCTCCTCCCAAATGAATTAACTGATCTGGAAACACTTTACTAATTTCTTTGAAAAGCATAGTAAGGAATGTGTACGTTGTATTTAGCATAGGGTTGATAGGCCCAGCACTGTTTGCCTGCTTTTGTCCCTTATAACATGGAGTCAGGAGGTCTTTCTGACCTGGAAGAAAAAGCCAAAGATTT